CCCATATATAAATCATTATGACATTATCTATTACTAAATATATTAATACTTGAAATTGGTTAGTGAAAACAAGTGTGGTAGAAATGTGAATGCTTAGATGGATGAGTGGTAAAACCAAAAAGGATGGGATTAGAAATGAAGTCATATAATGAAACATAGAAATAGCTTTAATAGATAATTGAATGAGAGAAATTAAATTGAAATGGTTTGTTCACATGCATGGAAGACCATCTATAACACATGTTAGAAAAGTGATATGTTACAAGTTGAAAGGGTTAAAAGAGCTAGAGGCAAAATAAAAAGGATTTGGGTGGAAATAATAAGAAATGATTTAAGTGTCTATAGTTTAATGATGCATATGACACTAAACAGAATAGAATGGTGAGATTAGATATATGTAACTGGCCCCATCTAGTTGGAAGAAGGTTTAGATAATGGTGAATATGAGTTGAAATTGACTAATGCATCTCACAAGTTCCTTATGAGAGATATTGATGGGTTACTTAATAATAAATATTTAAGTATTAGTATATTTCGCTATCTCATAGGAATTATTATCCATTATTAATGTATTAATCATTATCTATCATTAAATATTTTAATCATAATAGATTTGCTCTCATTGCTAGTCATATATCTTCCGGCATTTTTGTTCTGGAAAAAATATATTTATTAAGGCTTGGATGGTATCTTTGATTCTAATTAGGCCCAAATTATAAGGTGGTCTGTTAATCGAATTTTTAGTAGACAATACATTTTCAATGTAGGCAATGGTACTAAAATTGATCATGTTAGACCATAGGTGATTCACTTGTTAGTCATGACTAGAGAGGTGTTTAGTACAAATTGCATTTGAGTTGATCAATACAAGTTACAAATTTGTGTAAGAGATATTTTTCTACTTGAAATGTTTTGAGAACAATTTGAATTGTTGTTTTTACCTAAAATGTCAAGTTTGATGTTTCACATGCACATGCATTTTTCTAGTTGAAATGATATTCATATATGATATGTTAACACAATTCTCCCAAATCTGAATTGATCAGCCCAAAATCCAAGGGCAATACAACGCCATTGTACTAGACATCCCTTGGCTCAGTTTGGAAGGAGTACAAATACAAATATGTACAGTGCAGATACATACAAAATAGAAGATTTTGTACTCTACAAATTTGCATTTGTACTCCTTCCAAACTGAGCCAAAGCCACATGCTTATGACTATTGATGACTATTTTGTTTGAGTAGGAGATATGCTGCACTTGTCTTGCACTCTCATTCAGTTTGTGTCTAGTGTCGCATTACATGTGAAGTGGGATAAACTGAAACTTGTTTTAATCTTTATCATAAAATGATGGTATTTGCCTCCAGACCACAACCTGAAAAGTCATCCTCCCCCTCCACTCTTTTGTATATACCCTAGTTATTTAGGCATATCTTAGTTTTTTATCAGGGGACCCGAGGCACATCCCTAATTATAACTAGGGGCCATCATTCCTATTTGGCATAGACTGACCCAGAAGTTTTCAAGTTTGGGCTAAGGAATCTATTGCAAGTTGAATGGATTAGAAGAGGTAGGGATAGACCAAAAAGGACATGAGTCGAAGTAGTAAGAAACGGTTTAAGTGTTAATAATTTAACAACGAATATGGCATCACACATAATGGAATAGTGAAAGAGAATTCATGTGGTCGACCCTATTTATTTGGAAGAAGGCTTGGATGGTGATGATGATATTTAGTCATGGGCCTAAAAGTTGGGTCCAAGCTTAAGCTTTAGTGATAATGATAAGTGCTAAGCCGAATCAGGATTTGGTCCTCATAGAACCCACACCTCACACCTCACAATACATCCCATTATGTATTGGGGACATCTCCCTATGAATAACAACACACTCTTAAGTATAAGAAATGTTCTTGATGTGCGGCTGGAACATGTTGTGTAAGGTTGGTGTTAGGAGCATTTTGGGAGGAGCGGATTTGGACCATGCCCATGATCACTCATTATCACTCAAAGGTCAAGTATTAAATGGTGAAAAAATCCCCTTCCCAATATTTTGGAATTCTACATAACAAATAGTGATTTCTTTGTCTTTTTCTTTTTATATTGGGGATATTAAATGTGCCGGACTTGGATGGTCTTGGGTTCTATGCCATTTACTAGAAAGTCAGTGCGAGAGTCAATGCCAAGTAGAGCTTAAGTCGTTGTTTGGTTGAGATGTATGATTATTAGAAAAACATTTGTCTTGGGGTTATGTGAGAGCTATTATTAGAAAAAAAAAAGTTAAAAAATGACATTTCCTACATTCCCTTTAGGCTCAGTTTGGAAGGAGTATAAATGCAAATTTGTAGAGGGTAAAATCTTGTATAGTTGTGTGGCACTTAGACTCAATTTGGAAGGAGTATAAATACAAATATGTACGGTACAAATATATACAAAAAACAAGGTTTTGTGTTGTACTCCTTCCAAATGGATCCTTAGGCTCAATTTGGAAGGAATATAAATACAAATAGGTGGAATCTAATGGTGCTTAGTTGTAAAAAGACATTAATAATCAATTTTCAACCACTTTTCTCATTTTTCAAGACAAACAATGCATAAAACATTTATTCAATAAACAACAATGGAACAAAACATCCCCTTATATCACTCATTAAGAAAGAATGAGAGAAAATTCTACCAAACTTAATTTTGTAGACTTTACATTTGTAGTAAGATTAAAGACGTTACATAGTCTTTGTTTCACAAGATACAATTGCCCAAATATACTAAAGATTTTCACAATGTTAAAATGTTACATGTGACGTTTCAATTTTTCATTGATTAATTTTTTTGGGATATTATTTAAAATTCACCATGACTTTTTCACATTTCTCTTAAACTGAATATGAGTTTTCAAAGCCCCCAAACAGCCATCTATAGGTGAGTTTTATTGTCTAAAACTCACATTCCGTTAAGATTTCAGTTAGTTCACCACTGGTGATTATTAACATAAGTTTTTCACATAAGCATTTGAGTACATGACCAAACTACCCCTGAATGGCGAATCACTTATTAAATATTTTTCACGACAAAATTACTCCTAATTCAAACCAAGGCCTAGACATAGGGGTGGTCACAAGCCGAGCTCTTCACAAGCTATTCGAGCTCGGCTCCGCTTGATTTCAACCGAGCTTTGAGCCGATCTCGAGCCTAATTTACAAGCTCGTTTAATAATCGAGCCGAGCGCGAATAACTACATATACATACATACATACCTATAATAATACTAATAATAATAATAATAATAATAATAATAATAATTATTAATAATATACAATTATTAAAAATAATAGATATAATAAAAAATATTATATATATAATATTCTTATTTTTATATATAATAAATAACTAATTATTATAAATCTTAAATTTTTAAATATCAATAACAATAATAATAATTAATAATATAAAATTATTAAAAATAATATATATAATAAAAAAATATTATATATATAATATTTTTATTTTTATATATAATAAATAACTAATTATTATAATTCTTAATTTTTTAAATATCATATAAAAAATATTATATATATTTTATTTGTATAAAACATTTTTTCTCAAGCCGAGCTTGAGCTCAAGGTTCTAGCTCAAACCGAGCTCGAATTCGAGGTAGTACAACCTTGGTCAGCCGAGCTTGAGCTTCGTACTATTTGGCTCGACTCGTCTCGAATCCACCCCTACCTACGCAGGTCGTAAGTAGTCAGGGATAACTTTGTCATAAAAATATTTAATAAAATTGAATTATCATTTAAAGGTAATTTAGAGATATAAAATACTTAAATACATGTACAAATTCTATTAATGATCACTAACAGTAACCTAACAAAAATTTTAACGGAAGGTGAGTTTTGGATAAGGGGCTTTGTCAAGGTTTAGGAACAACATGATGATTTTTAAGAAAAATGCCAAAAAATTAGCATGAGTTTTAGATACTATCCTTCACATTTTACATTATATAATGTTATTAACATATTTTGAGTTAATTATTATGGCCTAGCCAAGGCCTGTATGGACTAATGGATTAAAGATTAAAAATGTTTCCATTCCCATCGGGCGTTACACATGGCTACGATACGATAATCACGTGGTATTAAAACCGAGCTCGGCTTCATGTCGGCCCATCTGAGAAGGCGTTACACATTAATTGGGATCTGCTCCTCAGCTCCTCACATAAGGCGCCTGATACCGACCTCACATGCATCTTTCATCATGTATTGAGAACATCTCTTATAAATAATGACTGAGATATTCCAAATGCATGGTAGAATGTCTGTAAAATCGGTGTGAGGCGCCCTGTGTTAAGAGCAGCAGATTCGCTCTCGTTTTACGCCTTAATTTTTTGAACCTTTCATTTGATCTTGGGTAGACCGCAATTTTTTTTGAACTTTTAAAACAATAATTTTTTTTCCCGCCTGCAGAGGTCCAGTTGTTCCTCAGTTCGCATGTCACGACAAATGTTCTGAGGTCCCACACCTATACGCTTTCGTTCTTTATTTCTTTTTCTACATCTCTTATACTCAATTACCAAAGTGCCCCCGTAAATGAACAAAATTATCGGACCCCAATATTCGCTATCCCCCCCCCCCCAAGGCCTAACCCAAAAGAAATGGATCAGATGGGCTTTGTAATACATTGAATCCATCTTCAAATTAAGACAACTGGGCATGACATTCACACTGTCATACTCACACTATATCTTTTGTTTTTTTGAAAATGCATACTCACACTATATCAGTCACGGATCTGTACGTTATTTTCATATCAAAGGAGGCTAAATGGAACCGTATTGCGATCCGGTTACTGACATGGATTCGGGTTATCGATCTTTTGGAATTAAGGGTAGAATGGTCATCCGAATTTTCTCCCACGTACAGTTTAGTGGGGCTCCCTCCCAGACCTTCTCGTTGATTTCCATTCTTTTCTGGTTGATTGACTTATAAATTTCTCAGTAATAATATTTGCTTCATTATTCACTGGCTTCTGTTCTGCATCTTCTTCCCTTTAAGCAATAAGCATTGACTCCCTCAATTGAATCCCCATGTGGAATTAAAGCTTCCCTTCTACGCGCACGGACTTCCCGGGGAAGAGCATCTCTACTCTTTTTCTCTGCCCCCACATCACCACCATTTCGAAAGTTCCATATTAGCTTTTCTTTCGCACTTATCTTCCGATGAATCCAAGGCCTCTGCTTAAGTGATCAGTCACCGATCGATTACAAAAGGGAAAAAGGCCAGAAAAGGTCGACGCTCTATTTTTTTAATAGCTTCTGTAAGACTTTCGTTCATTTTTCATTTCAATGTATTTATGAATTTCTAATTTCAAGTCATTTGTATGATATCTCTTCCTTTTTTTCTTCTCTGGAGAGTTAATCGACCACAAATTAGTTAGATTTTGGTGATGCTCCTAAACTACAGTAATCGTTCCTTTTATTTTTCTTATTGAAAGATGATACCTTCCTTTCATTTAATCGTACTGTGGTTTGATCATTAAAGCGTGATGACTTGCGATGTGTAAGTCCCCTCTCTCTCTCTCTCACTGACTGTGCGCTTGCTTGAGCTTGAAAATGTCGAAATCCTCTCATTCTCAACTATTTTTCATCTTTCCATTCCCTTCCTTTTGCTCGTATTAACCGTGCATTCTTGATATGAATTGTTTGGCTTTTCTTTTTCCTCCCTTTAGGGTATTATCGATGTCGTCTTCTTGAGATGTCTATTCTGAAATATTTTTTTTTTGATTATCAAACTTAAAAAGAAGAGAAGTATTTTTCCATTATATATTGTTTTTGTTGTCTCTGATCTAAATTGAATGACAAAATGCATTAAGTTCGTTGATTTCAGCATCTTAACCTGCGGGATTCATGGCGTAATTTTTGTCTGTTTATTTTTCCTGGGCAATTTCGACTTTTGAAACAAAATTGGACTGTTTTGAATTTCCTGGAATCGTGGGTCTCGAGACTTTATGGCTAACACCGTAACACGCCCTTGCACTTTCGATGAGTGGTTGCTCCTCACTCTCAGGTTTCACCTTGTGGCGGGCTTTTTGCTAAAAAGTTTTTTTTTTCTTTTATTTTTAAGGTGAAGTCCCAAGCCAGATATTTCTGCTTCTACTCTACTGTTAATTGTGTAAGGCAGTAAGGCAGTCCCAAGCCCCCAATAATTACATCTGAGCTAGGCATTTTTGTGTGTCACATCTTGGCAATAAAAGAATGTGACGTCAGGCTCACCCTAGATTACTTTATTTTGCTTTAGCCTTCTTTTCCTTAATTAACCCCACGCTTTTAAGAATTTGGAGTCGAATCCAATTTTGACTGAAGGCGTTCTAAATTCGAATGTTTATGACTGAATTGATTATAAATCTGATATGATTATATTTAAGTTAATTACTATTTTTTGCTCGTCCACTCACTCCTCATAGTTCGTCTTTTTGGTAAAGTCTCATTCCTCATAGTTTGTGGTTTAAGATATTCTGTCCATTTAGCAGTTTTAGTGACAAAGTGTTCAAATTACATTTGAAACTTTTCATTACTCTATTTTGCCCTTTATATATTACATGGGCAAAGATAACTCATTTTTATTTTTTTTTTGCTGAAATTATCCCCTCAGTTATACCCCATACTTGGGACAAGTTTTCTTTCTGCCACAATATCAAGGTGGGAACGAAAAATTGAAGACAGGTTTAGGAAAAGATAAAATAAAAAAATTGAGATGATAGAACTGTATCAGGTGTTATAAATGATAGTACTTTTTATCAATTTCAAAATATACATTTTGGAGGTGAAACTAGTATTTTATTACTAACTGTATTTTGGTAAAGTACTAATTCTGTCTTAATTCCACTTCCGTTAACAAGCCCCTGTAGTTTTGTGATCAAAGGGGGAATAAGTTCAGGTAAAAATTCCTAATTACCTGTGGGACCGGGTGAGATATAGGTTTTTTGTCCTTAGATATATTGGTATTATCCCTTAAATATATATGTTTATATCTATACCTTCTATTACCTCATAAACTGTAACCCCTCTCCCCTCTCCGTGCTTAGTGAGAGTGAGAGTGCACACAAAAAATCTACGTAAATCAGACCTTCATCTTTTATGTCTACTGTTAATACCATATGCCTCTTTACTCTTAAAACTAATGTGTTTATTTGTACTGTTGATTTGAATGTCTATTTTATTAAAGTGTCATAGGTTCAAAATTCATATCAGAGTCTGACGGATAAAATTTGGATTTGAATCGGAACATTAACAAATCAAATTTGGAGCTATATAAATGATTTTATCTGATTCATTTGCAGCTCTACCTACTTATTTGCAACTCAGCTTGGCTTGGGTTTACCTTCTGTCGGCAAACGCAATTTCCAACAACTTGAAAAGAAAATGAAACCATTGTTTGTTACATATAGTAGCAACTTTGGCCTTTTAAAACATGTATTTTCTATCTAATGATTAGGGGTGTGCCCCTTGTATAAAAAATGGGATGAGCTCAAATCACTGCCTTAACCTTTTTGCAACATAATTTTTGTTACAAAGAGCTCTATTACTTCACTTTAGTTACAATGTGCCATTAACATGAATAATATGTCTAAATTGATACCGGTTGGATAAGAGGAATGTTACAAAATGGTCGATCGGAAATAAGCTTGTGTGGCACTGATTGATTATGGATGGCTCCCATCTAATGTGTTAGAAATGTTCTTTTAGTCTTTTAGACCGTTAAGCACCTCAAAATTTCTGATTGTGGCACATGGTGTATTTTATAATTGTTTTTAACTAGCCGTGTATATTCTGAGGGGATTGGTTGTGGTACAGATTATTTGTAGTGAACTTTCTTCCTGAGTAGGGGTTCCTGCATATTGATATGTATGATCGTATTTGCTGCGAACTGTGCCACTATTTGTCAAACGTGTTGTATCTTGTAGAATACTTCCTTGTATGCATCTTCCAAAATAGTTGTAGCTGAAGCATCATTATTTTGTTCTACCGTATGCTATCTTTTCTTCTTTTACATAGGCAACTTAAAAATTAAAATCAAACTGTATGTGAAGGGTGGGATATGTTCTTTGCTTCAGCATTAATTTTTATGCCCAATTAATTCTTTATTGATTTGTGTTTTTTTTTCTTTTCTTTTAGGTGAACAGATCCTGTTGCTGCTATTAAAGGTCGCCTTTAAGCTGATTTGAATGGTGAGCAATAATCTTTGCTTATTTTTCATGTTATAGTTGGAGTTCACATTTTCGTGAAGCAAAAAACTTTGGGATTCTACTATGATACCAGCAAGACATGATAGCAGAAAAACTTGTAATCAATGAACTGGTATCATAAAAGTGGTAACCATTTAGGTGGTTATTTATCAAATTCACTGGGGTTTTGATCGGTCAATGCCCTTCTGGTACCATGTCTTTCCAGCAGCATAGATCTTTCCTTTGTCAGAGTTCTGAAGTTGGTGTAAACCGGTAAAAGTTATTTTGGTTCTTGGATTTTCTTGGTTCTTATTGTCTTAATGTATTATATGCTTAATATAATGTGTTTAAAGTCATAGGCCTGGAAGTCTGGCCCAGGCCCAGGTTTATATTTTAGGCTTGGGGTGTGCTGGGCTGGGCCTGGGCTATAGCCCTTAGCATAGGTGCTAAGCTTGATTTGGCACAGCCCAGCCCAGCCTCTAACACCTTGGCTTCAATATAATTTTGTTGGATGACAGCGTTGAATGACATAAAATAGCAGGGTTAAGTACTCTGCAACCCAATGCAGAATTCATCTCCTGTACGGTAGGCCTACAAAATTCTGACCTGCAGTCATTCTCCCTTGAATTTAATAATAGGCATGTGCTAGAATATTTATAAAAATTTAAAATCAACTAAAAAATGGCATAGATCATAGTAGGAACCTAACCTCTTTAGTCAAGATTGAGAAATTCTTGGTCTTCGGAATCCCAGCATCAGAAGTTGGGGTGGGGAGCTCATACTTCCGGGCTCCGGCAATGAAAAAACTCCAAAAATAAATAAAGATTCCAATGTTGCAGACTTGGTGAGGAAGAAATATCAAACTTGAATACTTCTTGAATCAATCCTGTTTATATTGCGATACAAGTAGGTTCTAATTATGAATTGTTGATCAGTATAAAGACACAAATGAGGACAATTCTATGATATGGATGCATGCTTTGTGATATCAATACCATTAAAAAACTGTTGAGAAGTAAATGTTGCGGACCTAGGGGTGCAATGTTGCATTTTGAGATTGCTTGACATGGACCATGGTACAACATTTTAGCATCACTGTTTTGCAGAAATGGGGTGCAGTAGTGGAAACCAAGTGTACGACATCTACATCTATTTAATGGGTTTAAAAAGCAATATTATTTTGTTGGACCAAATTGAAAAATATTCACTTATAAACTCAAGTCCAAAATAAACATTTTTGTTTTTCAGGCCAACATCCCGCGGAATATGAAGAGGATGGAGTCAAGAAAATCGCATTCTTGGTGGTGGGACAGTCACATAAGTCCAAAAAATTCTAAATGGCTTGCAGAAAATCTTGAGGGTAAGAATCTATAATTGCCATGTTCTTTCATTGTTGAAAATTATGAAACCTTTTTGATGAAAAGCAAGTAAATATTAGCAAAAAGGTACTATAAGATGCAATTTTAATTCTCTTTCTCCATCTGTTGTTATGAAGCAACAAAGATAACAGAATTTTGTTAACAAAGACTGACATGCAAATGTTGCCTGTTCGAGATTAGAATAACTAATGAGTATTGGTTAAGACCTTTCACACCTAAGGTCACTGATTTTTATAGGAATAAATCAGAAATGTTGAAATTTTATGTTCTGCCCTACTAATCCATAGGACCGTCATTTTTGGGTAAGTCCTTATCATCTAAACAACCCAAAGCATGCCTTAGCTGCACCAAAGTACCAAAGCATGTTTTTATGGGGAAACTTTGATTGTTTGGGAAAAATAGCTTGGGCCGTTTTTAAACATGACATCTTAACATAGGTGAGGGGTAAAAGAATATTTGTGTTCAATATTCTTTTAGTCAAAAAGACAAAAAACCAACTGTATGGGATAATGTGTCATGCATAGGAAGTTGGAAAACAGCCTTGACTATTTATTCCAAACAGTCAAAAGATTTGCTTGTTTTGATGGCTTAGATTCTAATCCTATGCTAGTCCAACATTTTCCTTCTCACAGATTACTATGATCTTACCCAAAACTATAATTTACGGGGCATATCGTTAAGTATTGGGGTCTGACCTGGTTAAGGGGGTAGATCAGCCTTAAACCCACCTCTCTAATCAGTTTCAAAGAAAAAAATAATCAGGAGAGCAAGCTTCGGTACAGGCCGATATGCCCCAAAACATTGGTCCTGATGATCCAAGTCACCCAAAACATGCTTCATGGTTTGTGCAAAGAATATGTCAATATCAAGGATCACTATAACCTAACCTAGTACTTTTCGCTGTCAAAATTTTTCATTAGGTTCAGTTTGGAAAGAATATAAATACAAATATGTAAAGTGAAAATACAAGGTTTAGAAATACTGTATACAAGGTTTTACACTGTACATACCAATCATCATGGTACTTTCCATTGGTTTTTTTCATAGTGGCTTATTTGACTTTCCTTAAAGGAAGATTCTCTTGGAAAACTAAATTGGGTAAGTGGGACAATCATTTGATTGTTTTTCTGGCAGTTATATTTATTGGAGATCCTAAAATTGACCTTTTTTATCCTTAAATAAATGGTTTTCATACTCCTTTATCTTCAGCTATCTGAAATTTGAGAATCATTATTTCCAAATTGTAAACTTGATAAACTTATGTGCATGTAATCATTTGAATGACCAAAATACTATAGACAAGAAAATGACAAAAAGGCCCTTGATCTCAGAGATGGACCGGAGTGTCAAACGGATGTTGAGATTGATAGAAGAGGAAGGAGACTCCTTTGCAAAGAAGGCTGAGATGTATTATGAGAAAAGGCCACAACTGATCTCTCATGTTGAGGATTTCTATCGTATGTATAGATCACTGGCGGAGCGCTATGATCACTTGACGGGAGAATTACGTAAGAGCATTCCCTCAGAACTACAGTCACAGGGATCTGGCATTTCTGATGTCAGCTCAGATCCAGTCTCCCCAATGCAAACGGCTGATAGAAAGCTTATCCGCCGCAAGTCTAGTCCTCGTGCTGCTGGTTTTGATTTCTTTCTTGGCTCCGGTGGTGGTAGTTCTGATGTTTCCAGAAAGGAAGTTGATGAGTCTTCATCAGATTCTGATTCAGACACTGACGATGCGTTATCTATTAACAACTACTCAGAATCACAGATGAATGGTGATGGAGGATTGCAGCAGAGGATAATTGAAGTGGATGTTGAGCTCCAGCACATGAATGAGAAGCCTCAGATGGTTGAGGAGGAAAATTCAGAAGGCTCATTGAAGGTTATGGAAAATGAGAAGTATGAAGACCTTTATGGTAGAATTGCACAGTACGGGGAAGAGCTTGTGGTTGCAAATGAAAAGCTACGTGTTTCAGAAGAAGAGATTGCCAGATTGAAGAATGAATTGTCAGAAGAGACCCATAATTTGCAGGTTCAGCTTGAATTAGCACATAAGGATATTGAGATACGGGAGACTGAAGTCAATTCAGAGAGAATCCAAGTATTAGAGCTGCAAAAACGGGTAGAAGCATTGGAAGCCAATGTTTTGGTAACGGATAGCAAGATTGAGGTATTGATGGAGGAGCTGAAAACCAAAACGGAAGCACTTCAGAGTAAGGAAGAAGAGATAGTAAGGTTGAAGCTTGAACTTGGGAAAAGAGGACACTTGGAAGCTAATTGCAATGCGGATATGGTATCGCCTTCAAAGGATAATGAACCTCATGTACCAGAGTTGGTAGGTCGGATTAAGGTGCTGGAATCCGATCTTTTAGATCGAAATTGCAATATTGAGGCATTGGAGCAAATGCTGAGAATCACAAATGAAAGACAATGCTGTTCAGAAGAAGTGATCGAAAGGTTGAAACACGAGGTGGAGAGGAATGAATCACCCAAAGCTGTAACTACTTTACAGATTGAGCTTGAGTCTGCTCGGAAGGATATTGCATCCCTGGAGTCTCAACTTGAATTAGAGAAAAGAGAGATCTTGCAACTACAGGTGCAGATTATGATATACAAAGCTGATATTTCAGATCGAGATCAAGAGGTAAGGAAATTGCAAGCTGCAATATCAGATGCCAACCGGAACTTCTCTCTGGAGAAATCACGTCTCCAGGCTGAACATTCAAGTTTATCAACTCAGCATGCCATGCTAGAAGCAAAACTGGAAGGGTGGGAATCAAAAGGTCAAACTTTAGAAGAAAAGATAAGGCAGATTGAGTCTGAGAAATTTAATATGCAAGCTCAGCATGGATCCGAGAAGATGAAAATGCAGATTGACATTGAGCAGTCGAAGGCAGATATTACCAAAAAAGCTGAGCATATAGAAGTATTGAATAAAAGCTTTGATGCACTTAAATTGAAATATGATATGTTGATATCAGATAGGGATGAACTCAATGCTAAGATACTTGCACTCATGGACGAATTGAGTGCTCGAGATGACAGGATTCATCATATGGAGGAGAATTTGCACAAATCAAGTATTGAGCACATGGAGTTGATCAAAAGATCTGATGTGGCTCGCAAGGAGGTGGACAAGCTCCAATCAAGGGTGAAGGAGCTGGAGGAGGAGGTTGAGAAGCAGAGAATAGTAATCCTGGATGGAGCTGAAGAAAAACGGGAGGCTATAAGGCAGCTGTGTTTCTCATTGGAGCATTACAGGAACGGGTATGAGCAGCTTCGTCAGGCTTTTCTTGGGCACAGGCGCCAGGCAGTGTTGGCATCCTAGATTATCCGTCTTTCCGAGCCTTAATGTATTATCTCTTTTTGTTCTGCCCTTGCGTGATGAGGCAACTGTCATATTTCTTATAATTGATTGTGGTATAGTGGTATGCTTTCTAATGGTTAGATCTCAAGCGAAATGTGTAAATTGAATGATTGCACATGAATGTTCGCCCCTTTTGTCTGGCAGAGCACTTACATTACAGAACCCTTGAGATTTCCTTGGTTAAGAAGATTTCTTCAGGTAGTGGTTCTTCTACTCTACGTTTTTCTTGTGCAGTACATTTATAATAACAAGTTTTTTTTTTTAACGGCTTGAATCTGGTGTAGAAGGTTTGTTGAGTGGTAGTAGGGACATGAAAGGGATATATGGGCATATATGTGAAGCAATTTATAAATATCATTCAAGTTTAAAGCCAAAGGATCCCTTGAAATATAAATGGTTTGATATGACCATGTCAACAGGCCACGTTGTGGGTCTAATTTTATTGATGGAACCATCACACTATGGGCCTATCTGCCTCTGCTTTCTGAAAGTAATGTATCACACCCCAAAGGGTATATGATGATCTAGATGATGTAAGTTGGGTGTCTCCTATGAGCCTAAGCAGGTTTTGGATGTTGATTTTATATGAAGTCCCATAGAGTAGTTGTCTACACTCCACAGCCCACATTAATTTCTTCCAGTATGACTGAGAATCAGCTTGCTTTCTCTCATATGGCCAAAAAAAAGAAGAAAAAGAAAAGAAAAATTAATAGATGGTGTCAATCTTGCAGTATTAAAGAGAATGATGGCAAGAAAGAAGAATTTTGAGGTGGGGAAGTTCTCAATTCTCAATAAACAATCCCCGGGCCCCTGGGTCTGGTCAGATATCATGGAGAGGGAAATAATGTGAATGTCCAAAAGTTCTCTCTTCTTTGGCTTGTGGACAGTCTGGAAACTTGTCACCTCAGTCCAGTTAGGACTTACGAGGCAAAAGCAAAACCTTCATAGTTTGTACAGCTTCATGCTCCAAAGCCCTCGGCATCCATTGAAGCCATGGGACAAAATACTGCTGGGTTGGGTGGTTGTAAGTAA